CTAAAGCAGTCGTTTGAATGGAGATGTCTGATGGTTCATTATAGTAATGGGACAGCAGCAGGTGGAGTGGCGGTGCAGCAGAAGGCCTACCTATTTTTTTATCTTATCACAAATTATATGTGTAAGAAGTCTGCTTGTTTGTACCTTGTCCTGGGGGCTTGGCTATCAAAGAGCCACAGTGCAGTATTCTAAAAAGAAGACAATAAGACTTAAAAATCTCTCTAACATGTGCATAATCGACTGCCAGTGAACTGAGTGAGTTCTGACGTCACTCATAGCATTTGGCTTTGCCTGAAAAAGACCATTAGAACTAGTTTAGGAAGGTTCATCTTGTCTTGGAATAAAGTTATTAGTCTCTTCTATATCAGACAATTGTAAGATAGCAATGTTATTACCTTGATATGTTTCAAAGACTTTGGTCTATCTTACATCTGGTATAGAAAAAACAAATAACTCTGGAGCCAAATGTACACAAAGCAACCATATAGCAACCATATAGCAACCAGCAAGCATATAAAGAGAGGCTGGTCCTTTCTTGTTCACATTAATTAAATAACATATTATTAACAGCCCAACCAAATTGGCCTGTGTGTCTTAGTCTTTCCTGGTTTAATTTGACATTCACATCAGTTCACATGGATGCGGTCGCAATCATCTCCAAGACAAATGCCATCAACAGAATTGCCACAAACATACTGGGAAGCAAGGCGCACTCGGAGCTCTGTAATTATATTAAGTGCAACAAAACACAGAGCAATGCATCATGGCTGTCAGCTTTACACAGTGATCTGAAATTATTTGCTAATACACAAGAGGAAATGGTGACAACAATATGTCACATAAACAGCCACATATTTATATACACAGTGTGTCAGAGAGCAAATCTCAGAATAACATTCATTATCCACTCATTAAAAGAATTGTAATGATTAATGTTATTATGATGTTGTTTATTATTTTAAACATAAATTAAAATGATGTAAAAAATCAATAATTTGATTCTATTTTTCTGGCTTGTTTTAATGTTTTAATATCTCTAAGAATAGATATTTGTACTGCATGCTGGGACGTGTGATGGTGTATGGACCAGCATTGAGTATTCTAAGCTGGGGAGGTAAGACTAAATCAACCATCAGTTTTGTGAACAGGCAAAAGTCTTAAAACATTGCAATGTTCTTTCATTCTGATTGTTTTAAATCAAGCAGAATTATCCTGTGGAAGATGTTAAATTGATTTTTTTTTGTGGTCCATGTGTGATGCGGTAAATGAGAGGTCTGCATGTAATGTGTACTGTTGCTTTAAAAATAAATCATCCAGAACTAACAATTACAAATATAGTCAAAATAGCACCAATAAATAGGAAGAGTAAACCCGGAATGTGATGGCACCGTGCTGGGAGGCAGATAAGCAGCAATGGTGACACGGTCTTCAAGCAGGCAACCAGGTGACATTGTGCCAAAGAGCGGGTTAACAATGGGATGGAGCTCCTGCCCCGATAAGAGAATTAATATTGATTGCACATGCATGTAGGGCTGATAGCGTCCCCTACAACACGCCACTGAAGGCAAGCTCTTCACACGCCAAAATGTCAAGAATGTCAACAGTAATGTCTGCAAAATGGAGGCAAATAGTGGCTTTCATGTGTTTAGAAGCCATTAGTTTGCATTGGTGGAATGCAAAGGCTGCCACAAAACATTGTTGGGTTGATTCTTTATGAAGATCTTGTCCAAGTTATCTCTATATTTTAAAGATATTAGGTTTAGGGTGGAAAATGAATCAAAGTCAGAAAAAATGTGTGGCAATGTGGCAAAAGTTTTTGTTAGCAGACAATAAACTTACAACAGACGCTTATAAACTCATCACGTTGAATCATGAGAAGTGATTTTAGGACACTAATTGTATATTGGTCTTTAATGGATGACGTTAATGCGATGTATTGCTTTTACTTCTAAAAAGGTATATCGACCAGCTTGTCACTAACCAGAGAACAGCTGAAAAGTATGACATGCAACCAAGCCATAGACATTACGAATAGCACAATCCGAATATAACTTTGGACAGCTCAAACCATTTCAGATAAAGCAAATTGACTGGCATATTTTGGCTTGAATAGTCAAAACCCAAATATAGCAAAGTGTTAGGTCTGTATGAGTGAAAGAGACAGAGACATGAGCGCTCGGAGAAAAGAAGTGTAGGAGTGTTTTCTGCACATCAATGCTCCCCTGTGTCTACTCTATCGCACCCACATAGGAGTGAAAAAAAAAGTAGGTCTGCGCTGGCAAAATTCAAATGTTGAACTAAAAGGCATTATTCAAATGTAACGCGTTATCCTCACTCTCTCTGTAGGTCTCAGATTGAAGAATATGATTGTGTTCCGTTCTCTGTTGGGAGTTAGAGCTGAAATGTCTATGTTGATCATGTCTTTGGGGCATTCCTAAGAAAAAATGTCTATGTTTAACATAAAGGAGACATATTAGGGTTTTTATTAGGACATTTGAACCATGTTACAACATTATTCCCACATCAAAAACAGCTGGAGTTGTCTTTAGCACCATCCACGCTAACATCTGACACTAACAGGTCCCCCCTTCCCGTCTTCGTAAATGATCCCATCTCAAACCTGCTTCTATGTTTATCCACCTTGTATATTCATTTTATAAAACAAAAAAACAAAGTCGAAAATAGTCTCACAATTATCCTCTTCAGGGCCAACAATAACACATAATATTTTGTCTTATGTATAAAGAGATACGCTCTCTTTATTCAAGGCTAGGTTTAAAACAGTCCTCTTTAGTTTAGCATATGGCTAGGAAGGTAAGACTCAGGGAAGGCTAAACTCCTCAGAGTGTCAGTCAAGCTGCATAGGGAGTCAGTTTGCTGGGAGAAGTATGGCAACTTGAGCACTATCCTCTCCTCCTTCCTACTTTATCTGTTTAGCATTTTTAGGATTTTGACTGTAGTTTGTTCATTGCTATTCACCCGTTGTCCCATTGTCTGTTTCATGGTACGATGACGGGATCACTGAGCCTGGCCTCCTCCATCTACACCTGCGGACTGCCCCGCCCGACCCGCCTGGGAGTGCTTCAGTCCTGCACCGGACCTGTCCACGTTCAGCGGCCACTGGTTCACGTCCTGTAGCTAGCTTATGTAACCGGTCCCTGGGTTAACTAGACTTTTTTTCAACAAGAGAGAACATCAATTGGCTAGATCAGAAGAGCTAGGTATCGGCTCTGGGAGTGAGTGAAACATACACAAGACAGTCTTTTGGGTTTTGTTGGTACCATATATTGCACACACATAAGACAAGGACACAGAGAACATTTACCCCACAACCCAACCCCAGTGAATGGCCATACGATATATACAAAGTCCAGTTCCAATGCAACAAAAGTCACAAATGCAACAAAAGTTCAAGCGGTATTCCAATAGTCCATTCAGTGCTTATTTCCCTGAGAGCGAAAATATTCCACACAGCGCGGAACACGGTTGGACGCGGTCGCCACGGACCGAGGCACCCGAGGAAGAGTTGAGGTTATGAAAATTAAAGAAGGCGGCTGCAGGAGCCTCCTACCCGTCCTGCTCAGAGCAGATGAAGTTCCGCTGACTCCTGAGTCCCAAGAGGACAATGTGGACCCCTTGTGGAGAGCCCAGTGGAGTTAAGCGAGATGATGACTCCAATAGTTCAGGTCTCTAGCTCGCCATCTGACAAGGCCTGTGTATACAACAGGACCAACCATAAATCATGTGCACATCAAAGTATCTAGTCCAATAATTCAAGGACATAATCTTTAAATAATCAGCATCTATATCACACAAAATAAATAATCAGTGCTTCCAATTATCATTTGTCAAATACATTGATATAAAAATTCTTAAAATAGTGTCTATTGATTGATAAACACAAGAGCAGTGCTGGTGCTTACAATGCAGAGAAGTGCAGTACAAATGTTGGTATAACTGGCTAAAAACCGCCACCAAAGTGCACCCACAGAATAGCCCGTTAGGGGTTACATATACACAACACACTACACATGAACAGAACCGCATGACATGGTCCAATATGTGAGAAAAGTAATAGGATCGACTCTAAAAGAGATCTCCCCCGATTAGCATTAGCGCTAGCGCTTAGCCTCCATTGGTTTGTATGGTGCTAACATGCTAACAACAAGCACTCACCTAGTCCCGAACTTCTGCCTTACTCGCTCTGAGAAGTAGCACGGACCCCGTCCTCGGCTCCTAAGCATCCGATTGCCACACATGTTAAACCAATCCAGCGTTTTAAAATAATTTTAGAAAGAATTCTACAAACCCTACCTGCAGCAATTCACCCTCCCAGCTTCAACCTCGCGTTACGGGTGTGTGTGCTACTGCCGGCATATAAGCCAATGAGAGTATAGCGCACAGTCACGTGACGCGGAGATGCATTCAATTCAATATAATACTAATTATTACAATGCTCAATACAATTATCAATATAACACTTTTTTTTTTATTTGATCTAAGAAGGGAATAACCTCGCAGGGTTTTCTACCTGGGTTACATCCTCCCCCCCTAATTCATGCAACTCCCGGTGCATGCTTAAACGTTGTGTACGCGAGACGGCAAGAACCCGTTTGCTGCAGGGGTAGCAAGTACCACACTATATGCATCAATTAACCCCTGAAATAAAGTTTGGGCGGCGGACACAAGCGGATTCCCTAAAGACGAATATTGCAACCGATCAGGTGGCTGGCGTGGTCGGCTAGTACGTCTAATCAAAACTTCAGGAACAAGGCAAGAATCTCCAATTTCAGGAGCAAGAAGTGCATCGGGCACGTCCGTGTGGATGAGCAATGGCTCAAATTGATTGGGGGATGTCTCTACCGGGTTTGGAAAAACTGGAGTTCTTTCAGGATTCGGTACACAAATAAGTTGGATTCCGTCTTCGGCCTCGGGTAAGCTTCCATCAACAGCTTCCAAGCCTTCCACAGGTAAAGAACCGTCCGGAATGACAGAAGACTTCACTTCTTCAGGTAAGTAAGGTTCAAGGTCAACGGGACTATAGGCAGACTGGCTTTGATTGGGATCAAGATCTTCCCTTGTGACTGGGATCGGTTCAATGTGGAATGGACCCGACCCACCTTCTTCATCACCATTATCCTCCTCGTCCTCCTCCACGACAGCATTGGACACATCTGATACCGGTCTCTGGCTCCGAGTCTGAGGACGGCGTGGAGGAGTCTCTTGCAGAAGAGATGGATCTTCTCTGGCTGACTGGAAGGGACATGGAAGAAGCAGATCCCTGTGCAGGGTGCGAGTTGGTCCCTCCGGCTGGTCTTCCGGCCGCACGGTGTAGACTGGTAGGTCACCAGCTTGTTTTAGAACAAGGTAGACACTGTCCTCCCATTTGTCCTCCAGCTTGTGCTTCCCACGAAGGCGCACATTCCGAACCAACACTCGATCACCTTCCATCAACTTTGACGGAGTAATGCGCTGGTCAAACCGGCTCTTGTTTTTCTCTCCAGACTTGGCAGCATTTTTGGAAGCTAACAGAAAACTCTCTTCCATCCTTGTTCTCAACCCTTCCACATACTGTGAATGGCTCTTTGAGTTTCGTTCACGAACCGGCAACCCGAAAGCCAAGTCGACAGGAAGTCGTGGAGATCGGCCAAACATCAGCTCGTATGGCGAAAATCCGGTAACGTCGCTCTTTGTGCAATTGTATGCATGTACTAAAGGACGCACATACTCCTTCCATCTGGATTTTTGTTTATGCTGCAATGTTCCAAGCATACTAAGAAGAGTGCGATTGAATCGCTCGACCGGGTTTCCCCGGGGATGGTAAGGGGTGGTCCGGGTCTTCACAATACCAGCCAGTTGACACAGTTCCTTAATGAGCTTCGACTCAAAGTCCGGCCCCTGATCGGTATGGAGACGCTCAGGGATCCCATACACTACAATGAAATTCTCCCACAGGACCCTTGCCACTGTCCTGGCTTTTTGGTTTGCAGTCGGTATTGCCACAGCAAATTTTGTAAAATGGTCCGTGAAAACGAGGATATCCTTGGTATTGCTTTGATCCGGCTCCAATGACAGATAATCCATGCACAGTAACTCCAAAGGCCGGGAGGTCTTGATGTTGACTAAGGGCGCTGCCCGTTCAGGAAAAGCCTTTCGCCTTACGCACCTGGGGCAGGTCTTAACCTTTTGCTCCACATCAGCAGACATGTGGGGCCAGAAAAATCTTGAACGCACTAAGTCCAGAGTCCGATCAATCCCCAAATGGCCCATATCGTCATGCAGGCTTGAGAGGACAGTAGATCTCAAGTCTTCAGGCAAAACCAGCTGGTATGTGATGTCCTCTCCAACACCCCTCCTCCGGTACAAAACCTCATTGTGCAATTCGAGACGAGTCAGTTCCCTCAACAAGAGGCAGAGATCGGGGAGTTCTTCACGTACAGCTGGGAGAACCTTCTCTCCCGTCCGAATTTGATGGACGACCTCTCTAAGGACCAGGTCAGCTTCCTGCCTCTCCTTGATGTCATGATGCGATAAAGGGGATATTACCGGCAGCCCATGATTGTCCTCGCTGGAGTAACACTCTGGGATCGCATCGGCCGACACACCTAAGGACTCGATCAATGCAATGAAACTGTCTGATGAGGGAGCCGGAAGACTGGCGCGCATCAGACAACTGTGGCAGATTGCTGAAACAATGGAGGGATCAATCTCCTCCAAGTCGGAGGGATGGTCACGTGTGAAATGGTGAATCACGTCAAAGTCATTGTAAGATTGATCATCAGCAATAGTTTCGTGAGGGCGGCGAGATAATGCATCCGCGTCAAGGTTTTGTTTTCCAGCCCGATATTGCAACTTAAAGGTGTATGTGGACAGGGCAGCAAGCCATCGGTGACTGGCAGCGTCCAACCTTGCAGATGTTAACAGATAAGTAAGGGGATTATTGTCGGTCACTACAACAAAAGACGAACCATACAAATAATCATGAAACTTTTCTGTCACACTCCACTTGAGGGCAAGGAATTCTAACTTGTGTGCTGGATACCTTGACTCGCTGAGGGACAAGCCCCTGCTGGCGTATGCAATGACTCTCAATTCCCCGTCCTGCTCCTGATTAAGGCTGCCCCAAGCCCGGTGGTACTGGCGTCAGTATGGAGTATATAGGGAAGCTTGGCATCAGCAAACCCGAGGACTGGGGAAGTGGTCAGCTTTACTATAAGCATCTCAAACGCAGCCTGGCAGGGCGGAGACCATCGTTCACCGAATGGCTGGTTTGGAACCAGGCTCTTAACTGGGGTAGACTTGCGTCGAGCCTTGGAGGTAGGAGCCATACCTCGAGTGAGATCATTTAAGGGTTTAGCTATACCAGCATATCCTTTTATGAATCTCCGGTAATATCCGGCAAACCCCAAGAACGATTTAAGCTCCTTTAAAGTTCTGGGGACTGGCCAGGATTTCAGGGCTAAAATCTTGTCTGGGTCAGTTTCCACCCCCTTCTCCGAGACAACATGCCCCAAGTACCGCACAGACGTCTGAAAAAATTTACATTTTTCTGGGGATAATTTCAATCCGTACTCCCTCAACCGATGTAACACTCTTAACAGCCTCTCCTCATGTTCCTCCAATGATCTTGAAAACACAATGAGATCGTCGATGAAGACTAGGACCTCTTTTAAATGTAAGTCCCCCATGCATTTTTCCATTAGTCGCTGGAAAGTGCTGGGGGCATTTGTTACTCCTTGGGGCATTCTATTGAACTCCCAGAATCCAATTGGGGTAACAAAAGCGGTTTTCTGCTTGTCGGCTTCAGCCATCTCGATCTGATAGTACCCTGATTTTAAGTCGAGAACACTGAACCATTTTGATCCCGTCAAGGCGGAAAACGACTCTTCAGGATTTGGTAAGGCGTATGCATCTTTGACGGTCTGTAGATTCAGTCTCCGATAGTCTATACACAGTCTTATGTCCCCATTTTTCTTTCGGACCACAACAATTGGTGATGCAAACGGCGACTCTGACTCACGAATGACTCCAGCCTCAAGGAGATCCTTCAGATGTCGTCTCACAGCTTCGACATCTTGAGGGTGCACAGGCCTGGGTCTGTGCTTGAATGGAGTGTCATCGCTCAGTTTGATATGATGTCTTATTTTGTCTGTGTGACCGAAATCCAAATCATGGCTAGAAAACACACCCGGAACTTCTCTCAGCCTTCGCATGATTCTCTCCTTCCACTCAGGAGGAACAGGTGACTCTGCAAAATCCAGCTTGAGGAATTCCGTTGTCTCCTCTACTGGAGACACACTGTGTGATAGAACATGAGGGCACATAGCGAGAGCTGCTAGGGTACTGAGAGGTTGGAGAGTGACATCCTGATCGGTCTCATTGGCAAGTATGACTGGGATCTTTGCATGGGCCTGGCTTGGAAGGGTAATCAGAGAGTTCTTTACGCACAACCCGCCTGGAAGGGGTGTAGCTGGGTGCTCCACCAGCGCCCATTGACCTTGATATGGCATGCTGCAATGGAATGTACCATCCACCACAGTGGTGCGCCCCGCTGGAATCAGTACAGGGGTTTTACTGACTAACCGAACTACTCCATCACTTCCTTCCTCTTGTTGCCTATGTCGCATCTGTAATAGCTTAAGGACAGCACGGTAACCATGTGCGGATGGCTCGAAGTTGGACACATCACTCTCCAAATGCTGGACATACAACGGCTCTAGAGTGTTCATACCGATAAGCATGGCGGATGGAGAGCTTAGACCTACATCGGGAACGACCAGAGCTAATGTGGCAACATCAGTGTCGACTCCAATGAAGTCGTAGGGAAATGTAACAGTTATCTCAATGTATCCAAGATATGGGACAGCTTGGCCCGCAGCCCCCTCTACATGCAATAGATCGCAAATGGACTTTACAGGTTGATCAGCACAGAAGGAGTTGTAAAACGAGACTGGGATCGTTGTTACTTGGGATCCTGTATCCAAGAGACAGTTAACGTTTTGACCTGAAATCTTCACACTAGCTGTACACCTCGATCCAACTAAGCCCTTGGGTAGTCGTGATTCGACCGGAACAGATTGGGTCAGTCTTTGACAGGAAATAGTGTTCACTGTGGGACATTTTTGGTCCACTAGAGTTCCAGTTCGCCCCGTAACTGAAACTGATTCTAGTTTAACGATCGTTGATCTGGGCCATTGGACTGCGGCCAGGTTCTGTTCCGTTCACTGAACTGCCTTTTCTTCATTGCGACCAGTGCAGAATTGGGCTGGTTTACACAGTTTGGTCGGATGTGACCATCTTCACCACACCTATAACAATACCCGGGTTTGGGTACAGAGGACAGGTTCTTTGATTGCTTGCCTGCCCCCTGACCCTCCCCCACTTGACCAGGTGTGGCCTTTGAGACTGGCTGCCTCGTGTTTGACTGAGAGGCAGTCAGGGCTGCAAGCTGTTTTTGAATGTCAGCGAGCTGCTGGGCCAGTTGCTGGGTAACACTGGTGAGAGCAGCAATTTGGCCCTTGTCTTCAGCATTCGTAACTGCATACTGAGCATGGTTGGCAGCTCTGGGCCGGACTACACCAAGGTGTTGCTTCATGCGCAGGGTTTTTGCGGCTTCACCATCTTCCTCCGTCCTAAGCAAGAGCAGCAGTTCAGCAAAGGATGGTGGATGGTGTTTTCTTTGTTTGAGTTGTAGATCTGTAATGAGGGAATTGTCCCAACATCCACGACAGAATTGGGTGAGTAAATGTCGGTCATTATCATTGCCTAACACCCCGCCACGTTTTATAGCCATATTTAGAGCTACCTGTAGCCGTTGCAGATAAGTGGACGGCTTCTCCCCTGAATCTTGGAACGTGTCTAAGAATTTGGCATATAATTCATCGCCATCTTGAACTGCACCAAAGGCGGAATCTAATGTGTGAAGGTAAACGTCAGGGCGGGTGTCGGGTTTCAAATGTTTAACAACGTCAGCCGCGGGTGATAACAGGCTGTCGAAGATTTTGCGTGAACGCTGAAGATCGGACATAGCGGGATCCTTCATTAATAACTCTGCTCCAGAGCGCCAGGTGTCATAATCAGATTCATTCTGGGGTCTTGGAGTTCTACCGGAGAAAGCGCGGAGACGTTGTGAAGTGAAGGGCATTGCATTCTCGTCACTTTTGACTATGTGCTCGACCACATACCGTTGGACTTCTGGAGGATTTAGATCGGCTGGCGTCATGGCTGGCAGTGAGAATCTTGTGGACTGCCTGTCCAGAGGCCGCTGTTGTAATTTAGGCAGCGGGGTGGCAGGAACAGCACGGTGTGGAGTGGCAGAAGAAGTAGAGGCATACTGTGGTAAACCCGATGGTGAACTACTATCTTGCGTGTGTTGTTCCTCCTCGTTGTCTTCATCATCTATGACCAACTTCACCTCAGGTGGATGCAGCCCGGTTACTGTTTGACCGAGTAGAGACATAACCCCTTGTAAAACAACCGCAAAGTCTTTACCAGTCGATTTCGCAACTTTTTCCAATTCGGACAGATAATTTTCAGTTTGAACCTTCCCCACCTCCTCTGAACACGCGGTGGACAAATCTACTATTTCAAAATCGCAGTCAGTGTCGCAGGAAAACGTGTATGGCAGAAGCGGGCGCAAGTGCATTAAACAAGACTTTGAAACAAACTCTACCATGATAGAGTTATGGAAAGCCGAACCAACTTCATCTACAATTTCTGCTCTAGTTACAGGACCATAACGCTTCAGAAAATCCAGAACTACATTATCACTATTAGTATGGGTTGCAAACTTCACTAAAACTGCATTAGGAATAATAATGCCACTTTTCTCGAATATATCCATTGTCAATCAATAATAAAAAAACACCAATATACGTTATGCTTCTTTTCACTCACTCCTGGCTAGCTCGCCACGTTATGTAACCGGTCCCTGGGTTAACTAGACTTTTTTTCAACAAGAGAGAACATCAATTGGCTAGATCAGAAGAGCTAGGTATCGGCTCTGGGAGTGAGTGAAACATACACAAGACAGTCTTTTGGGTTTTGTTGGTACCATATATTGCACACACATAAGACAAGGACACAGAGAACATTTACCCCACAACCCAACCCCAGTGAATGGCCATACGATATATACAAAGTCCAGTTCCAATGCAACAAAAGTCACAAATGCAACAAAAGTTCAAGCGGTATTCCAATAGTCCATTCAGTGCTTATTTCCCTGAGAGCGAAAATATTCCACACAGCGCGGAACACGGTTGGACGCGGTCGCCACGGACCGAGGCACCCGAGGAAGAGTTGAGGTTATGAAAATTAAAGAAGGCGGCTGCAGGAGCCTCCTACCCGTCCTGCTCAGAGCAGATGAAGTTCCGCTGACTCCTGAGTCCCAAGAGGACAATGTGGACCCCTTGTGGAGAGCCCAGTGGAGTTAAGCGAGATGATGACTCCAATAGTTCAGGTCTCTAGCTCGCCATCTGACAAGGCCTGTGTATACAACAGGACCAACCATAAATCATGTGCACATCAAAGTATCTAGTCCAATAATTCAAGGACATAATCTTTAAATAATCAGCATCTATATCACACAAAATAAATAATCAGTGCTTCCAATTATCATTTGTCAAATACATTGATATAAAAATTCTTAAAATAGTGTCTATTGATTGATAAACACAAGAGCAGTGCTGGTGCTTACAATGCAGAGAAGTGCAGTACAAATGTTGGTATAACTGGCTAAAAACCGCCACCAAAGTGCACCCACAGAATAGCCCGTTAGGGGTTACATATACACAACACACTACACATGAACAGAACCGCATGACATGGTCCAATATGTGAGAAAAGTAATAGGATCGACTCTAAAAGAGATCTCCCCCGATTAGCATTAGCGCTAGCGCTTAGCCTCCATTGGTTTGTATGGTGCTAACATGCTAACAACAAGCACTCACCTAGTCCCGAACTTCTGCCTTACTCGCTCTGAGAAGTAGCACGGACCCAGTCCTCGGCTCCTAAGCATCCGATTGCCACACATGTTAAACCAATCCAGCGTTTTAAAATAATTTTAGAAAGAATTCTACAAACCCTACCTGCAGCAATTCACCCTCCCAGCTTCAACCTCGCGTTACGGGTGTGTGTGCTACTGCCGGCATATAAGCCAATGAGAGTATAGCGCACAGTCACGTGACGCGGAGATGCATTCAATTCAATATAATACTAATTATTACAATGCTCAATACAATTATCAATATAACACTTTTTTTTTTATTTGATCTAAGAAGGGAATAACCTCGCAGGGTTTTCTACCTGGGTTACACTTAGGTCCTAGATTTATCTGTTTAGCTGTGCATACAACTGAGGGATTTTATATTTTCATCTTTCTTTTTAATGTTCTGTGATTATTGTGCTATATAAATAAACTTGCCTTGCCATCATCAGCCTGTCCGTCCGGAGGAGCGGATCCCTTTCTCAAATGGGTCTCCCTCCCTGTGGGTTTCCCTAGTGCTCCCCAAGGTTTCTCACTTTTTCCCACTGGGTTTTTTAAGAGTTTTTCCTTGTCGATGCAGGAGGGTCTTGTTGGACAGTTAGTGTCCAACAGAAAGGATTGGTGATGATCAGGACACTTTAGCATTCTACAACATGTATGGACATTTTCTTCTGTGTGTGCTTTATATTCTTCATGTGTTTTAACTGTTGCTTCTCTGACCTGTGTTGGTGATTTCAATGGTTTTGTTAAGTCCTCTGAAATGACTTCTGTTGTGACTTAGGGCTATACAAGAATAAATTGTATTGTATTATGTATTATGTAAAATATGTTGCTGTTGACTGTAGTCTGCAATGTTTATCCCATCACAACTTTCCCTCTGAAACCCTGAGCAAATAAACATCCACACTCTTGACAGTGAAATCGTGGAGATTATTTTGTTTGAATTTGAGGAAAAAGTAGACAAAAACATTGATATATAATTGTCTCCTGCATTAAAGCAGACAAAGAGTTCTATGTTTTGTTGAGGTCATCTACCGTGCATGTCCAGATTTTTCGTCACTGGGTCAGAGGCTATTTCCAAAAGGAGAGTCGTCCTTGTGACGTCCACTACGGCCCATAACTGTCACATGGTTCAAAGATGGGAATGAAGACATCTGCAGTTGCATGGATGAGGTCAAAGAGGCAGCCTCATTTGTCGTTGCCGTGCCTTCATGCTGTTGTATCTGAGTAAAAGAGACTATATTAAGGAGTCTCCGAGTGGGGGGCTGCTGCTGTCACATGCTGTGACATGTGTGTCACAGCAGGATCAGAAATATTATTTATTTTATAGGAAGGTTGTGTGCGTGTATGTGAAACAGCTGCGGTATATATGCACCATGTCCAACAATCTAAGAGCAGGCTGACCATCTGGGGCTTCTTGTAGTATATAAGCACTGAATCCACAACAATGAGGAAGAGCAAACAAACTAGAAAAGTTGTGCTACAAAGTAGGGCTGGGGTCAGAAACATTTCTAAACCTGGGGGCCTACTTAAGATTACCAAATGGCTCCAGGGCTGCAATATAATGTTGAATTATGCTGTGCAAAAAAATTTGCACTTGAATGTTTATCAGGACTGAATTTATTTTGTGTTCACTGTTTCTAATTCCATCCATGTTAAACTTGAAGTACGCAACTTTGCAAAAGCTAGACCTAAAAAACCAACTACTACTGTCACAAACGGCAGACACTGTGTGTGCTTCTGAGCAGAGAAAAACAACATGTACCCAACAGACAGCTATTTTTGCTGGCGCCTTAAGTGGTCCTCGCAGGTGACCATGCGCTTGCAGGCACAGCGTTGTTGACCCCTTAATTAGGGTATAACAGATTATCTCTGGTCATTTGAGGTAAAGGCTGCCTTACATTCATATCTGTGTGTAACACATGAACCTTAACTTTGTTTATCTTGCCTCCCCAGATCTGTCAACAGCAGTCTAAGTGTCACGAAAGCACAGAACATTCTGCAGCAGGGGGCAGAGATATAAGGGAGCACAGCCTCCAATTGATCAATTGGAGGATCATTCAATTCATACGGATTTGGTGTGTGCTTCAATGGTTGGTGGTGGATATTTACTGCAATCTGCATGAATGCACTGCAGCTTATTGCATGTTAACTTGTGAAGTGTCTATCTCTATGTAGGGGATCTATAAAAAATAAAACAAAGTTACTTACTAAACAAACCTCTGGGGGAGAAAAAGATTCTCTCAAAGCACACACACAGCTCTGCAGAGGGATAAACATGCATGTGGAGATGCTTTAAGAACATAATAGTGTTTCTTAACATTAGTCAAACTAGTTAAACTATTTATTTTGTCAACACATACAAAGCACAATTGTCCATTTAAATCAATGATAATCCCCAGCCTGTTGTCTACAGCAGCTACCCACGTGTGTCGGCTCGATGCTCCCTCACACAGCCTCACCTCAGGCCTGCCATCACCGGGGCAGGTGGGGTATAAGACCCTCTCCAGAGCAGAGTGCTTGTGAATTGGTTTTGGCTCCTGGCTAAATCTCCTCACAGACACCTCTTCTTTTTCTCCATGAGACCAGAAAGAGGCTGCTTTCAGTGGAGCCTCACGCCACTCGTCCAATTCGCTGTGACTCGATCTTGGCCAAAAACGCAGGTGTGAAACGGTCTCCGCACGCTCGCACACACACACAATATCACAATATCACGGCGGCTTTGCCTCATTCTGTCATTCTGTCTCTCCACTATCTTGTCTCCACAACCGCCGAATCATTTTCAAAACAATAATGGGCAGCTTTGCTCGTCTAACCCGTCCAAAGAGCTCATTCATCCTGTGTTGGAGAAGAGATTACCCTTAAACCCTTGCCAAATCGCCATTTCTGAACTATAGTGATGCACCAAATCAAGCTGAGGTCCTGTATATAAATCATGTAAAAATAAGTAATTCCGATGTCTTGTCTGCAGACACCTTTCTTTTCTCTCAACCATACACTTACAGTTTTTCACTTAAATATACATTGGTCCATAAGCAAAAAGAGTTCCAATGAAAACAGTAGCGGGGCTTTTCAGCACTGTAAATCCGAACTTCAATCTTACTTCAGATATCAAAGTTATTTTAAATTGATTCTTCACAGTGAGTAAATATTACTCGTTTATTGTTAGTTTATTTAAAGCTTGGCAACATCACTCAGGGCCTTGAAAGCTGTCAGGAAATGTGAGGTATCTTGAAAGGTATCTTGGCTGAGTGGGTAGCACCTTTGCTTCTCAGTTAGAAAGTTCTGAGTTCAAATCCCAGTCGGAGCAGGACCTTTCTGAAGTTTGACTATGATTTTGACTTATGTTTAACTCGAAATGACAGTTAAACTTTATTGCAATCAATAGAGTTCACTTGCCAGGGTTTACAGTGTGGAGTTTGTAATACTCATCCAAAATTGAATCATTTTATCGACTACAACACACAGTCGTCATGTCAAAACTCCTTTCAAAACACAGATTGTACTGAATTCAACATTTAACCATTTTACAACATAATTCCTTCAACAAAAACAGACCTGCCGTTGTTTTAGATCCATCTGAGCTAATATCAGGAACTTATTACCTATAAATCCGCCCCTTCTGTCTAACAGCTCCTGTCTCTATCCTGTTATTGTATTTCATTGTAACTCTATCATATTTAAAATAAAACAAGAGCATTGTCAGTTTCTCAAATGAAATGATGTTTATTAAAATCCCATGATTGCGTTTGCAGCTGGTAAAATTTGGAAAAAAACAAACAAATTCGACTCATCCTTCTGGTGGGAGCAGAGGGAGTTACAGACAGATAATATTTTCCCCTTGAAACTTTTCCCATCATATAATATATTTTCTACTGAAGATGTTATTTCAAATTCTGATATATGACAAGTAAATAGTCTCATCGTCATGTTTAGGGCCAACAAAAAAGCCTATTATATCTTCTTTAAAATAGTACAGTATCTACATTATTATTGTAGCTTTGAATATTCCCAAAACAAAAGCCACAATGTTGAGGATGTTTCAACAAACACACCTGCCTCATCAGACGAATAACGTATCAATCACCTCCTTTATTTACCTGTTGTCTGTCGCTCCTGTTTGAAACACTATGCAGTCTGTTAGCAGCTATAGCCTCTGATTACACTCCTGCTTATTGGTAATTAAGCACTGCACTTGGTGGCAATATACAGAAGGCTATAAACCCCCTCCTCTGTTGGCACGCCACCGCTCCTGCCCCATTTTCAGCTATAGAGGGAGGACGCAGGTGGCGCGATTGGCACTAATGTGTTGTAATTGTTGGCAGCTTCGTGCGGCTAAAGATATGTAGCGCCGAGCAGGAGTTGGCTTGTCACATGAGCTGGGGGCGGGATGTGCTGGACCACTGCGGAGAGGAGGAAAGGTACAGTATATATAAATAACCAAGAGGCTATTGCAAATGACTGCATACTAATTATTGTTATTATGATTGTTATTATTATTATGGCCATCTGCTTATCCGACATCATGAAGTTGTATTTAAAGACGAATCAGCAAAAGGTTTGTCTCTAGATACACAAAGTTTGTAGAGTCACATTGCGAAAGGCTTGCCGTGTGATTGCAGTATTACTCAAGCCACACTTTTCAGTTTCTATGGGGAAAAAAAGGATAAGAAAAATGCATTATCTTGTTTAGACATCACAGTTGTCTATCTTTGTGGAGGTCTTCCAAAAAACAAAAACAAAATCTTAATGTTTGGGTTAGTAAACATGACACAATGTGGACACCTTTGCAAACCACTGTCATTTGAACAATTAATCCCATATCTTAAGCATTTCAAAGATACATGTAGCTTTTAGGTGAAGGGACTGCTCGTCTTGCATTTTGATAAAAGACATCAGTAGTTCTAAATTTACACAACACCTATATTTCAACTTCTGCAACATCTAGAGGAAAAACATGATATGTACCTGCGAAAACGTGTGTAAATTTGCAACACTTTTTAACAAGTGAAGTTTGAGCAGTGTTGCGGTGACATTTGGGTGCGAGT